GGATCCCTGAGCAGCTGGTCTGGGGACTCGATGCTTGGTCATTTTTGACTCCAACCTCTCTAAGTGGAAAAAGTAGGCATCCTGGCTCCGCCCAGGCGACTGCTGGAAAGTGCATGAATTCAGAGTTTCGTAGAAACTAGCCATTAAGATCCTATCAGATTCCATTGTCAAGGGGAAAGGAAAAGCTATAGACCAAAGAAATGGCGCCGGAAACAAGAGAGATCCGTCTAACTGAAGTGCATCGGAGGCTAAAAGTGTCCAACAAAGTCTACCGACCCCAAAGAGGCCGGATTCTGCATAAGAAAGAGGGACATAAAACCATGGCATAGCATTTTTACTAATGACTTGGCTTATGCAACGCCTTTATGGCATTCTAACTAAAAAGATGAGGCTCACCGCACAAAGTCAGGATGCTGCCGCTGTCTTCGTGGATATACTTGCGCATCACGGCCTCCTCCATAATCTGTTTCACCTGAAAGAAAAGTTTTTAACGATGAATATGGCGCATCACTGACAGCATCGCCTCGACGAGGCTCTGCAGAAGTGTTGGAGGTATAATAAAAGGTAAGTTGAAATAGAGACAAGAGAGTTCATGTGAACTCGATTCGAGCCTTTTGCATACAAGATAGGAGTGATATATCAATTAAAAGTAAACAGGCTTTACAATTCACTACGAAGCAGAGCTATAGAAACTATTGAGACCATGAAAATTAATTCAGTCGTGTATCTGGGTCACCGTTAGTCTAACTATCCATCGAGTCGGTTGCAAACGAAGGACATGTAGGCCCCTCAACAAACGCATTATCGCCAACAACACACAGACAGTCGGAAGACATGGATGAACGCACTTCCTCTGTCATAATAATCATGGTGATTTTTAGTGCTGGATCATGGGTTTGGTATATATCAAGATGTTTTAGCCAGCACTGTAACCAGCATCATCAGTGAGTCTTGTCAGTCCTAGAAACAATATATGACTCATCAAAGAGACAAGTGAAATACATCCCTTGACCAAATTTCTGCTGAAGAGTTGTGATATCTGTTCTTCTATCATGACACATTCACCATTCACATATCCTCGTATCGCCCTATTCATTATGACGTTTAGTTTGCTCATTTTCAAGAGATCAGCGCAGAGCGTGATCAGGCCTCACTAAATCACCTCAAAATAAGTTATAAGGTGCAATAAAGAAAGTGGAGGATGCAAAGATATGCGATAGATGGGTATGCCAGGACAGGAGAGAGGCCACAAGAAAGGTGGTCAAAGGATGGATTTCACTTGTCTCTTTGACGAGTAGCAATTTGGTACTAAGTGTGGCGAACTCCCTGACAATGCCTATTATGATGCCGGCGAAATTTCTAGAAATGTACCAAGTCCACAGAACAACACTGGAAATTAGCATGACTACTAAAGCAGAAGACACCAGCCAAGGCATGCTCATCCAGGTCGCCTTGAGAACACGAGCAAGTCGCATAAGCGAGGTCAAACCACTTATATACAGTGAAAGGTGGCCGCAGCCAAAAGGGATCTTCATATCTTGCCAGCAGAATTGAGTAGACAAGAGTGGAATGTCCTTCTCTGTCCTGCTGAAGCACTAAGAAGTAGTTTGTCATGACGGTGATATATCAAGGTCCGCTATCGCAAGTACTAGATATGAAGGATATTAACTCTGTATCCCAAAGGTAAATGTGATAAGGGGAAGTGGAAATAAGGCTTGGCATCTAGATAAAGTTAACATTACTTATTCCCGGAATTTCCTTCATTTGGATATAAGTAAAAGTTAAACTAAGTGAGGAAATATAAAATCCCTTGAAGCCGGCTCCTGGACGGTTCAGATAGCACTCTGCATCAATGATTCGGAAAGAGTGCAAAGAGGCAGGAGCAGCGCAACTTGGCTTGCCAGGAGCAATTAGGAAGAGGTCAAGGAAGCAATGATACTTAGCCGTGAACGCCTCGTCACAGTGATAGAGCTATTATCAGGTGTTCCATATTCATCAAGCTGGACTGTCAAAAGTTGTAGGTACCTGCTGGTGCTGCAAGTCACAGCGCCTATAGGAGCGAGTGGAGCGAGATGTCGAGTAAAAAGGGCTATACTCCACTTGTTTATGAGAGTCAAGCAGCAAAGCCCACAAGTTGGGTGCCCTAATGAGGTAGGGGATTCGGTCAATCTCCCGGGGGTGAGGCAGCCAGATGAGCATAGTAGAGCAAAGCGGAATGCCTGAATGAAGCATTAGATCATGGAAGGGTTGCGTGTCTACAAGAGGCCAATACTTCTCTACTGCTAGCTTTAAATTAGCCAGCACCAGACTCATGCATAGACAGGGAACGGGAAAAATAGTCGGTCTGAGCTGAATTAGTGGGTAGAGCGCAACAATTTGGAAGAGTGATAGCCAGAAAGTATGCTAAAGAGGGTGTATGGCGTGGAGGAGAAAGCATGAGAAAATAATGAGAACATTTCAACTGAAGACTCAGCAAATATATGTGTCTTAAATGCCAAATTAAATGTATAAGGGTGATGAGACTCCAATAGAAATAACTTACAAAAATGATTGCAGTTGACCGTTTTTTATAAAATGCCATATCAAAATAGACCAGATCAGGTTGTGTGTAAATGGGTGTCTTTAATTATAGGAGGACAGGGTCGATATTAATGCTCAAAGCCAAAAAGGGAGAGTAGGAGTTTGGCTATGGTTAAATGCAAACGGACAAATAATATGGATCAGCGAAAGAGCATTGATAGACAGTCTTGTCATGCAAAAGCTGATTTAAGACGCAAGACAATGTGACTAAACCTCACAGGGGCTGGTACGTGTAAATACACACAAATAAAGGATTAAAAGTGAGTTAGTGTATAGAATATGCAACGTAAAATGAAAATAATCAACATTTTTTACAAAAACGTCATTAACCCTTAAACAGAAAGAAGAGCGATCGTGCTGATACTTGGTCGGATAGGTTGAGAGCTGGAGAGCTCATTCCATTTGGAATTTAAATGACATGAGGTCTAGTCTGCCCTTCGGTTCGACGTATACAGGCTACGTGACAGCTAAATCAAGCATTAGTGATACCATTTTTCAACAAAGCCGGAAAGATTGTAGTGGGATTTAGTATAAAGCAAATAGTAAAATTGAACAATATTAAAAATTAAAAAAAACTAAAACAGGATATGCCCAAAATCTTCTGGACTAGCCAAGCGTCTTAATAGGCTTTACATCCTTACTGCCAGAGAAAAAATATTTGTGGAGCCGTCATACATCCTTGCGACGTCCAAGCAGACAATTTTTCGTCATCTTCGTCGGAAAGATCACATATTACATCTAAAAATGACATTTATAGTGCCTCCATTATCGTAGAGTGGCATAAATGAAAGCATTATTAACTATGAATAGAAATTAATTAACCCTGCGACCTGGTTTGCTTCATAAAAGGTCAAACTAAATGCTTTTGTAATCTTCATCAATTGGACTAAGTAATATAGTCATGATAGTCTACATTGCTTTATCCCTTTAGATAAGTTAAGCAAAAGGGAAGGAGAAAAGAATTAAGACGTCGTTATTTGTGTGTTGGACTCTAACTGATAGTTATGATGTTTACTCCAAAAATGAATTTAGACAGTCATACAGGCACACTACTTGGAAGGGTCAAAAGAAGTGTGGTATCAGTGATATCATAATATTATTAAGAATAGTAATTATAAACAAACTATAAAAAAATTATCCTGACCTAGGCTAGCATCATAGCAGAGTATGCGAAGAAGAAGAGGAAACTGGTTATATTTTCGCACAAAAAAGCGCAATCCCATTTCAATATCAAGAGAATTTGAAGAGATTAATCTGCTATTGACACTAATAAATTGTGAAAAAGTTGTAATCCCTTATTTTTTACTTTTCAAGACATAAGCATATAAATTTTGGCCAGAAAAAGACAATTAATCCTGCACGAAGAGAACAATCTAAGGAGAATTCGAGTTTCTAGTAACAAATACAATGCATAAATATGGTTTTAATATCTTAAAAACAGCTTCTTGACAGTTTAGTGACTTATAGTTTTCAGTTACATGAGATGTATTAACCATATTTCCT